GTATATAGGTTAAAAGTGCCCAATATATATAAATAAAAAAAGTGGATATAGAAATCAAAACCCAGTGGCGATAGTCTGCTTCATGCTTAAACGCGATCCTCAGGAGATTATATATATATATATATATATATATATATATATATATATATATATATATATTTGGTTGGATAGATGTGAGTTTTAAACATCACCATATAAATTAACCAATAAGGATTACTAATTTCTACCTGTTACATATACACAGTCACCAGAAACAAACAAATAACCAGCTTTAAATATAACAAATAAACGCCCAATTTTTTTCAAAAATTTAAAACAAAATGTAAATAATAATGATTTTTACCTATCATAATTTTACACAAACCCCACCACAAACTTATACATACATGCGAGGAAATATTATTCAGCGGAAAAATAAATAATATGACATGTATGCATTCACGAGACATTCACGAGACATTTCCGCCACACTTCCAATGTTTAAATTTCAACATACAAATGCGTATGTATAGACACAACACCACCCGTATACATACATATGTCATATCCGAAACTGCCTACATATGTTTATATCTGTATGAGTCCCGACGGACGACGAAGTATGTATATGTGTCTGCATACATCGATGTTTGCGTTAGTACGATGAATGACAAAACGACGAAGTTTCCCCCACCACTTCCACAATAACACCAATACACGCAATCTACATAAACCCAAATTTTTTAAAAAATTAATCAGTTTGTCTGAAGATCGCTAAAGCGTGAAACCCAGGGTGACAAACTCACATCAATCCAATCAAATATGTTAGCTCTATCTCTGATATTGAGCGCTTTCTAATAAGTACTGCGCATATAATATATAAATAACTATACATATATATATTTATTTATATTTATATACACTTTTCACACACACACGTGTGTGTGTGTGTGTTTTGAGTATTTGGATGTGGGTGTAGAGGATGTGATGGCTAAATTGTCGCCATTTTATATATTTATTTTCGCGGATGCAAGTTATTTGTTTTTCATTTTGTCGACTGCACAATTTAGTAGGATCAGTAGGATCAACATTTTGAATCGTCTGGGTATCAATCTGATGACAGTGTAGGGGATTAAAAAAGAGTTGTATGAGTCTAATGGTGATTACGAAAGTGTTTGGATTGATCAATAGTGATGGCAACGTTATGCTTCTATTCATCTTCATTCAGGCCTCAGACTCAACAGGGAATCCTAAATCGAGTGCCTTAAAGAGGTAGTACTGCCCTAGATCAATAGGGTGGCTGATGGAAGACCCTATATCTGGTAACAGGACTTTACCCCATGCTACACAACCAGGGGAACTCAGTAATGACCGTCAGACAATTTCTGCGAGCGCATCACCTCTTACATATTGCCACCTAAATCTCCTGACTACAACCCTCTTGATTATTATGGGGAGCAGTTGCACGAGAGACCCCTTGTAACACCAAAGATAAACAAAAGGTAACGATTATGATAGTATTCATCAACTTAAACAAGGAGACCATCCAGAAGTGTTGCAGGTGATTTTATTGAATATATTTATTCTTTAGTATTTCAAGATATTTTTGTGTAATTTTTAGTAAATATATCTGTCTAAAGGAGATATCAGTGTTATTTTCATTTTTGCCTAATTTAGACGATAATTTATCGCAATCTGTCTATTGGCGTTTTAGTCATCTGAAGATCGCGAGAGCGTGAAACTCCAGTAACAACATGGGCTGTTCTTTGCTAAGTGTTAACATTGTTCTCTTGCTCTGCCTAGGTAATCTAGGCTTTGAGCACTTCGATACTGAATATGTAGGTGTTTGTTTTTTGGTCTTTGTTTTTTCTTTCTTTGTTCAGGATTTTTATTTGTCTAAACTGGTAAGTATTCTGTCAAGTTGTTTGTTGGACACACCAACATAGCTGGGTGTTCTTTAATTCATATATATATATATATATATATATATATATATATATATATATATATATATGATACTATAATGGGTCACTGGTGGTAGTTGAAAAGAAGGTGACACTATCGTGACTCTAGTGATTTGGAATTAGGATTAGGAAGCGTTGAAGACGTTAAACAAGAAAACGTTAAAGTGAGAAACAAGAATTGAAATATGAAGCGAGGAAAAAATTAATGTTTTTTTTTTCTTTCTGATAAACAGAAACGCACATAAGATTTTTTATGAGTGCCCTGTTAGACATTGTTATGAGAGATTTTTTTTTTATGAAAAAGGCTGGAATGTAAAACAGTAGAAAAATTTGAAGTAAACAATTTTATTTTTGCAAAAAGTTGACTGTTTTGGTATTTGAAGGTCATTGTCAACCGACAAGCGAAATGTAAACAATAGAAATTGGGTCGAATTTTGGAAATTTACAAGCAATTCATTGTAATTCGATACAAAAAATGAAATTCCTTAGAAATAATTTTTAAACAAAAGTGTGTTAACGGAAATAAAATTACTGTTTGATATAACGGGCGATTGCCGAGAAATGTGAAACAAAGTTTATAGTTTTGAAATACCAGACCACTTTGTTTTGGGTCGATGTCATGTCTTCAGGGTTGTAGAATATAATTCATTGACGAATACGTAATGAGCGTTGAGGGTTAGTGAGAGTTGGACGATGTGCATATAAACTGAACGATCAGTTGAAGCCGGCTGTAGGAGCTGCCATTGGAGAAGGCTGAAACGAATCAACAGCAAACGAGAGAGCTGTTGAACCCCACGTGACCTGTCGCAGAGGTTGCCGACCTAAAATCTAGTGTGAATGTTTAACCCGCTCCAATTTTTGGAAGCAAGAGATACAGTGTCCCTATAGAGTGAACGGGAAGGATTAATTTTGTTGTATTAATAATTATATAAACGAATTGAATATTTCTTTATTTGTTATAATATTTGTGTTTTCACCGGCAGAAACATTCTTGTCCTTTTCCATAGCACGGTTGCTTCTATTCGATTCAGCGCTTAAATGCAGACGAAAGTTCGATCTTCACTGCACTGTGATCAAAGAACAAAACGTGGGCAGAGCAGATTAAGAAACGAAGCGGTCAACAGATAAACATTATTTGGCCGGTGTCAGTACATATTGTATATTTAGGCAGCCATCCTTTATTTATACATGTTTCATTAAAGACCAAAAAAAAAAAGGTACTACGATTAGGCTTTTTATTTAATTTTTCTTGTGTTTGAACGCAGTGTGCCGAGACTGTCCAAATATTCTGTAACTCCGAGCGCTTTCCTGCTATACTTTTAGCATTTATCAAGGATGATTTTATTTTTGCTTTTTAATTGGGTGTATGGAATATGTGTATGTTTTTAGAGTTATAGGAATGTTTGATTTACCGCACATAGCACATTGTGGGCATGTTCGGAGTTAATATTAAGTGTCCGGAAAAGAAAACACTTGTTCGAACACAAGAAAAATTAAGTTAAAAGCTTAATCATAGTACCTTGTTTGTCGTCTTTAATGAAACACACACACACATACACACACACACGCGCTCGCACACACAAACATATATATATATGCGGTGTCTTGTAGGTAATGATATTTTATTTAATGTAAATATCTTTAATTATGTATATATTTGATATCTTTAATTATGTATATATATCTTTAATTATGTATATATTTGATATCTTTAATTATGTATATATATGTCTTTAATTATGTATATATTTGAACTGGTTTAAATATACATCAAATATGGATTGGAATCCGACAAAATGACAGGATACAGAACAAATAGGAAATGTTTATGAATATAACATGTTTGGCTTTGATTAAAACTTCATTAGACAATGATATATGGAGTAGAAAATAGAAAATTTTGTTATTTTTTAGTTTTGTCTTGTGTTTTTTCATTGGCTAAGCACACCTCACATCCTGTCAAATAGCGTTAAAGTGAAATATTAAGAAAAAATACATTTTTTATTTCATAAATAATTATTAATAGTGTATTTGTTCTTGTTAATTTGATTAAAATTGTCCAACTGGTACGGTCTCCGAGCTTCCTCATATTATCTAATCTTCTAAGATGTACTAAGATGAAACTGTGTTAATAATCTATTAGCTGATTAGGCGTTTTATTTTTACAATCATACCACTCCATGCAAGGTAGTAAAGCCACTAAGACACAAGGGGTTATTGAGTGTGAAAAATAAGAATAAAGAGAATCAATAATGAGCGAGAACAATAGAAGCGTATTAAAGAAGGCGATAGATAACGATTGACATTGCATTTAAATTTTGGAAGATCAATGTTTGATGGAAAACATGAAGCCAAAAGAGAGTTCCACAAGCAAGATGTGTGAGGAAAGAAACTGTTAGCATAGAACTTGCGGTTACATCTAGTTAATTCAACTGTAAATTGATGAGACCTTGTCGCCAATCAAGTACTGCGCTTAAATTCATAAAGTCTAGATACCATAGCAAAGGGCGATATTTCTTTCCGCTTCAATACAGAAAGTGTGTCACAAGGCAAAATGAGGAATGGGCAAAGGGATTTAAACTTAACTAGCCACAAACACTGACCAAAGCATAACACAATATTCCTAACACCAAAAACAACGCATTCTAACATACCTTTCTTACTACATTCACCCTAATACCTCATTGTCCCTATGAAAGTCCTAACTAGTCTCCATATGTACAACTCATTGTCTGTTGGAGAGGGGAGTAAAACAACAATTAAAAATTAGCCCCCGTGTGTATTTACAATATGAACACAAAAACTATTTACAAGATACTAAGCAAAATGTTAGTAATAAAACAATAACAAAGACCTCATCTGAAGAATTACCATGACAGTATTTATAGAAAAAGGCACAGGAAACCAACTTTACGGCGGTTGGAAAGAGACTGAAACCAAGATGTCAGGTCAGGACCAATAATATTGCAGATTCTTCTTTAGATTTTATCAAGCATCTCTAAATCCAATCTTTGTTGTTTTAATAAATATATTGCCCCTAATAGTCTTTGTGACTCAATGCTTTCTGAAATTATAAAAAGATGCGTTCATCTTAGTCAGGGGTGTATTATCTATACTATTATCGTGTCCGTTTGTGTTTACACGTCTATTACGCTTTTCTGCCCAGGATCCGTCCTTGAGGTAGAATCAGTGGAATTTTCTGATCGAACCTACAGAAGAGGAGAGATAAAATAGTTGTGAAGAAAGAAAGAAGATGAAGGCAAAGTGTAAGACAAAAAGGGGAAGACATATGAGACACTGCATAATCTTTGTTGGCAACAACCGTAGAAATTCTACGATTCCAGCCGATTATCAATATTTCAGGAATTAATCTGACAAGTATCCCCGCCTTTTTTTTTTTACCGGCTTTTGGTCGGTGAGTTTTCTACCATTTTTGTTTTGTATTAAGTCTCGAGATTAAACATATATCAGCTATTTGGAATTAAAAAGGTTCATCAGGTGCACTCCCCGACATAAATCTTCACTTAGGCACATTGAATGCTACAGTTATATATAGAACAATAGCGGCTAATATCAAAATGAAGTATATTAAATTACTTTTGAAATAACAGAATATCTATCTATCTATCTATCTATCTATCTATCTATCTATCTATCTATCACAGTCTGTTAATATCTATCTATCTCATTTTTTAATATCTATCTATCTATCTATCTATCTATCTATCTATCTATCTATCTATCTATTTTTATCTGTCCAATCTATTCCTATTTATCTATTCCAGTTTATTGCCATCTATCTATCTATCTATCTATCTATCTATCTATCTATCTATCTATCTATTGTATTCTGTTCATATCTATCTATCTATCTATCTATCTATCTATCTATCTATCTGTTGTATTCTGTTCATATCTATCTATCTATCTATCTGTCTTCGACAAATTCGGCTGACGACAAAAATGTAGTGAATACAAATAAAAATAATTTCAAGAAGACATTGCATTGATTTAACAAAAACTATGGAAACAGAAAAAGTTAGGACGAAGACAAATTTATAAATATAAAAAATTCCTTTAATAATATCTATAGAAACTGAAAAACAAAATAAAGACGAAGAGGAAATTGGGATTCATGTTTTGTTGTCGATTCTATTTTTGGAAGCAAAGCCATCAAACATCTCTCGGATATTTTGAGATCGAATAAGAAAAACAAATAATGAATAACAAGTGTATGTCGTATATTTGGCGCGCTTCGAATCATTGGCAAAGAGCGTGTTAAAGTTTTAAGATAATGCGACGTTGAACTGAAACCTTACGTTTTTTCAACTGGTCTACAGCAAAACCCACCAGTTTCTGCTTGTCCGAAGAGTTATGGAATAATAGTAATAATAATAATAATAATAATAATAATAAAATAATAATGATAATAATAATAATGATAATGATGATAATAATAATGATAAGGATGATAATAATAATGATAATAATAATAATGATAATAATAATGATAATGATAATAATAATGATAATGATAATAATAATAATGATAACAATAATAATAATAATGATAATAGTAATGATAATAATGATAATAATAATCGCAATGATAATAATAATAATGATAATAATAATAGTAATGATAATAATAATAATGATAATAATAATAATAATAACCACATTAATAATAATAATTCTATTTTTAAGTGATTTCCCATTACTCCCAACGTAAATCAAATAGTCTCAACTTTTTGTATTTGTATTGCGTCTTTTCCAAAAGGTAACGTTATTTTTCGAATAATAATTCATTTAAACACACGCATGCGTACATACATGCTGAATAAGTTCACTATATATATGATGCCTTACTAACAAATCGACACAAAAATAAATTCTGAAAAAACATAAGTATTAAAAATGAAGGCGATGACCGGCTTAGATAATAAAACCTAATATACGAACATAGCAGTTTTTTAAAAAAGAACTACTTCACAAATAAAAATAAAAATCTTTCCCTAGTGATCAACAAGACATAAAAAAATGGCCTACACTCTACAAAGTAATGTTTTTTCTCATTCCATAATAGATTTTTCAATATATATATTACACAGATTTTACGCTGTATAGATGACATCTTACTGATTGAGATATTCCTTCAGAAATGTCCTAACTGAAAGCCATCTATAACCATTTCCTCAGATCAATGATTAAAAATTGTTTCAAGCGAATAAACCCGTCGGATGATAGAGAGGATCATTCCTGATTAGATCTCGTTGAATAGCGCTACACAATCATAAACGAAGGAATATACTAAATAACAGAAGCCACATTACTTGAAGACTTTCAACAGTAGCTACAACTAAAATGAATAGCACATAACTCGAAGAGGAAATAACGATCTAATCAAGATGTTGACATTCCACACTACCTCGAACAAAAGGTTAGGAAGGAAACCTCCATCAGTACTAGAAAGAACTATAACAGTTACTCTATTCGAGAAACCTTTCTTGAAAAAACAGTCTCGAGAGAATTTAAAAAAAATTTTGTCCGATATTAACCCTAGCTGTTCGGTCAATGTGTATCAAATATATCCATATAAGGATATATATCTATATAAGAATATATATCCATATAAGGAAGCAACCAGACTTTACCGTCACATTAACATTTCCACACTATATTAAATTGATAGATCTCAGGAATAAGCTAAACAAAATCGAATCTAGAATTAAAAAAAAATCACATATGAAAAAGGAACTTATAACAATTTACCTTTTCTTAATATTCTGTTACAGGTTTTAAATTAAACATCCGTATTCCAACAATAAAAACGATCTCAAAAATATTTCCTCACAGCAGGACAATGAAATTTGAAATAATTTATAGGTTTTTATTTAAGAGCCCTTAAAATTTTCAGCCTCAAAGGGCTCTTAAATAAAAACCTATAAATCAGTATTGGAAAGAGCTATAACAGTTACTCTATTCAAGAAACCTACTTTCCTGAAAAAACAGTTTTGAGAGAAAGATGAAGTTCTTTGAAAATATTTTGAAATTCTATCGTACATCATATACAATAGTAACGGTAATATTATCCGTTTCCATATAAGGAAACATTTGACATTCATTGACCGAGCATCCAGTACTGTTGTCGGTTGAAATTTATAAAATCTTTCACTTCAAATTTTTTTTAGGAAAATAGATTTCTCAAGTCCAGTAGCGATTATCACTCATTCCAGTATTGATAGGAGTTTCCTTCCTAACCTTTCATTTTAATTAGTGTGGCATGTCAACGTTTTGATTATATAATTATTTTCTCTTCTAGTTACATGTGATATCCATTTTAGTTGTTGTTGAAAGACATCAAGTGATGTGGTTTCTGTTATTTGGTACAGATCTTTGCTTGTGATGCTGTAATGCCAGTCCACAATGTTTGAATAGGTTTGGTTTGTTTTACGGCATATCAACCTCCATGGGTCATTTCATGCCGACAACTTTTTTTTCCTGGTAATATTTTTGTCTTGTCAAAAATCTATTTCTGTAAATATTTTTTCCTCAAAAATGTATAGCAGGTAATGTTATTTTTACAAAAACGTTAGGCTGGTAATATTTTTTCAAAAACGTACAGCTGGCAACATTATTTTCCCAAAAACGTATTATCAGAGGCTTTGCTGTTGGACGTAGTTTATCGTCTTATCCAGGACGCGGGTGGAGTTTATCGTCACACCCAGGAAGCGGATGTAGTCTGGGTGTTAACTATTTTCCCATAGCTAGGACCCTAACAGGTACTACCACCCCGGGTCAGGGTGGACCTGGGAACACCAGCAATTAACAGGTGGTTCCACACTCTTCAAAACCTCCTGATCAGAGACCTTGCTGTTGGACGTAGTTTATCGTCTTAACCAGGACGCGGATGCAGTTTATCTTCATACCCAGGACGGCGATTAAGGATGTTCTTCGCCGAAATCATCAGGTTTCATTCACTAGAAGCCATCTTAACCATTAATCTTAGAAAGTGGTTCTATACAACTGAAAGTTTAGACATTTCTGATCGGGTTTTGTCGCTATGCATGACATTTTTTTGAAAGTCTCGATCTGTTGGGGTTTAAGAACATGAGTTTTCAGGTTAATGTTTTGATTTTGTATCATGTCAAATAAAAAAAAATGTATTTAATTCACAGAATAAGAAAACAAACTATAAACACAAAACGAGGCACATTATATGTAACCCACACACTCCATAACTAATAAAAAGAAATTCCGCTAATTTCAATATAAAAATTATCACAGTTGAAAATTGAATTAATGTAAAACAGAGTTAACTTTATATCTAAAACAGGCGTCTACCAAATAGAATTTTAAAATTGACCACAAAATACATCGGTGAAACATCCCGAAATTTAAAATAAGTACCTTATATTTCCACGTATAAGGCGACCCAAAATCTGGGTAAATTTTCGTATAAGACGACTGAAAACCTAGTTTGGCTGCGTCGGATAGGTTAGCTTACGCCACTAGTAGCAGTTAAACCTCTAATAATGATTCCTAAGATTATAAAACAAAGCTGATATTATTACAAATGTTGTTTTGCTTACCTTTACCGTTAAAAGGAATAAAATAATATAAATTATTAACATGAATCTTTATGAAAAGAACAATAACGATTTCATTCATACGATTCGTACGAGTGAAATCAAAAGTTGCCTATGTAATGAGAAATAAAGATTTTCTATGGCATCTTAAATCTTTTGTTGTTTAACACCGCCAAAAATCACATAATTTCTTATTGAAAAATAAAGATTGTCTGTTATACTAAATGTTGTTATTTAACACCACAATGATAATGAATTTTAATTAGAAATATAGATTGTATGCTATCCTAAATATTGTTATTTAACTCTACTATGAGAAATAATGATTGGTATACGAAATAAAATGCACTCAATGAATTAATGTGTAACAAGAACCTTCATTATGCTAATTTGACTTGGAAAATCTCGTTTTCGTAAAAAAATGAATGTATTTCACTCAAAGTTGTATTGAAAGTGCCATAGTCTATGAATTTCCTACAATTATTGGCAAACTATATAGTTTTCTTATGAGTTTTTACTAAATTAATATTGAAACTATGTGGGATAAGTAAACCTTGAAGGAAATATAAAAATAAGAAATGCATTTAACAAATAGCCAAGGCCGAACAGCCCATTCTACCTGGTTATTTAACTACTTTTCCCAAGAAATCATGGCAATTCACATGATAATAAAGGACTGAAGTTGTGGAGAGCCATAACTACCGTGATTATGAACGGCCATGAGATTTAATTTAAAACGCCGGAATATTCACGTTTATATCAAACAGAATTTTACAAAGATGAAAGGAACATAATCACAGTAGGACTTTACATTATATCCGATTTTATTATATTACTCTTTTTTCATAAGATTGATTTTAACCAATTGAGATTGGTAAAATGTTCTTTTCTTTTTATGTACCGTGACTCTTCAGAACGTAGGCGATTATGGCTCTCCCCTTTTTCCTATCCCTTGTAGCTCTCAATAAGTTTTGTCCCTTTGCTACTTTCCCCAGGTCCTGTTCTGTCATCCATTTGCTTAAGCCCGCTAGATATGTCATGCGTTCCTTTCCCTTTTCTCCTTTCCCCTCTATTTGACTTGTAAGTATCAGATTCTCCAAGCCCTCTTTTCTCATTACGCGTCCAAGAAATTTAAGCTGTCTCTTTCTGATGTTAAGTATAAGCTACCCCCTTGTTTGTATCCTCTTCAAGACCTCATCGTTTCTCCTACCCTGGATCCATGATATCCTCGGCAATTTTGTAGAACCCTATTCTTATAATTGATGTTTACTCCTTTCTTCCCGCTTTCTCTTACTACTTTTATTTTCTATTTTTAGATGCCGTGTCTCTTTAGAATGTAGGCGAC